ATACAGCTACTTTCTCTTAATTCAATGAATAGAAAGATTTGTTCTAATAGTGTTTGTGGACAGGATATCATGTCTGCATCCTGTACAATGAATAACCACTAAGACAACAATATGCAATGTATTAATTATTGAAATGTCCTACTAATTGGTTTTGAAACTGTCTCATTGCTATTTCTCAATAAAATTATTTTAAAAAATAAAATAAAATCACAAGAACAGAAAAAAATAGTAAAGCATATGAAGCAGCCCTACTGGGATGACATGTATTCTTTGAATTAGGGTCTTGTAATGGGAGGTCCCTATGAAGAAGGGCACGTACATGTACACACGCACACACATGCACACACGATCACACAGGGAGAAGTGTATTTTCAGTTGTTTTCCTCTATACACACTGCCCCCTCTCAAGCCTCTGGTTTGCTTTTCAGCCTTAGCAGGCACTGAGCAGTGTGACCTCAGATGGAAGCTGCGAAGAAGAGAATTAGGCACACTGCTCCCTGGGCAGGGAGCTGTCCTCATCCCTGCAGAAATGGGAGGACTGGCTCAAAGCCCCCAGGACAGTTTACAGAGTGCCCTGTCGCAGGAGTCTTCTACTTCTAATTTTCAGTACCTTACAGTCAACTATTTGTTGAAAAAATGCAACCATATCCTGGGTCACACCGTGCACCCTTTGGGGAAGGGACAAGTCTGGTCAGACCGGGTTCCTGTCAGCATTCTGGTGCAGACGGCTGCTTACGTTCAGACATTCAGGGCCCTTCTCCCTTCATCCAGGCAATATAAATTTAGCAGAACACCTGACGCATGCACAAGACTACAAGCCCTGGCCTCCCTCGCACTCTGGCTATGATTGCAAAGCTAGGTTCTGGCCCATGGGAAGAAGCTTGAATGCAGTTGCAGACTGGGCCTTAAGGGAAGGGCGCGCCTCCCCTGGGCCCTTTCCCTCTTCCTGTTGGGATTGCTCACTATGGATTGGGACTGCTCAAGGAGGGCAACACTTTACAGGGAAGAAATTCTGCCCTTGGATAACCCCAGAGGGCCAGTTCCTACCAACTAGCCCAGTTCTGACAGGAAAGCCTGAAGGAAATGTATCTTTAACTTGTTTAAACTCTATTTGGGGTCTTGGCGACACAAAACTGAGCCCATGTCTTGAGTAATACATGGCACCTGCTGCCCAAAGGTTGGTTTCCAGTCAGAAGTGTGGGAGGCACGTGGATCCTGCAGTCAGCTGGCCCCAGGGCATACGGCCTCTCCGATGCGGGCACTGTCTTGTGCGAGTGACCAACACAGGCACAGAGACCAGATGTGGCTGTGCTACCAAATGCTGTGACCTCCTCCACCTGACATTCTGAGGTGGTAGGCAAAGAGGCGCTGTGAATTACTTGGGAGTTACTGTCTTTTGTCCCAAATAAAGAAGACTTTGTTAGCTTCTGGGTTGATTCGCTCGTACTTTACCTTTTTGTCTATTGAATCTTTTAATAAAGGATCATCCAGTGCACCTTCTGATACATTTTCTCTTATCTCAGCCATAGCTGAGGATTTCCACCTTCAAGACTGTTACTTCTCCCAGCTACTAACACTTAGTGCAGATCCGTCAGAAACCAGCTCAGCTTCCTTGTGGGTACAGTGTCAGGCATAAGCTACCGGCTCAACCTCCCTCCTACGCGGGACGGCTTCAGAATCCAGGATCCCTAAGCTGCTTTACTGGAGCATCTCTCCTTGCACATGCTTTCTACATTGTGTACTTTGTGTATTTCTTCCACATGAGCCATTTTATTATACTGTAATCAATTAGCACAGTCACAAGCACGAACATGTACACATTAAAATTCATGCAGGGTAATTCATAATCTCTAGCAGGCTCTCTAGCAAGGTCTGTCTTCTTGGTATTTAGAGCAAGGTTTTTACCACTCCTCCCAGTTGGTTTGCAGAGTTCTGCCAAAGGAAGGCCAAGCTGTTTTTCTCTCCTGTTCAGCCTCTTCCTTTTGAGTGAATTTTGGAAGAAACACACTCCTTTTCCTACCTAAAACTCTTAAAGACATATTATTTTGCATAAAATGAAGCAAGGGTATGCAACACTGACACTAGAAAGCTGTTTTAGGCCCCATATGCTTTAAGTGAATGTTAAGAAATCTTTTCTCAAAGCACTTACCTGAACCCTGGGGCTGCTGGCTGGACCCTGTGCTGCATAAACCGGGAATAGGGCAAACTAAAAATCATGCCTTCCTGCCCTACAATTCCCTCAAGGATACAACTGCAAAACAGCAGGAAGGGGAGGGAACAGGGGAAGGCACAGATGTCTTGGAAGAGTTTCAAAAACTGAAGCAACACTTGGGTCAGGTAGCATCTTTTACCAGCACCATGAAGTGTGGAACACTTTTGCTTTTTCTGTCCTTTCCTTAGTGAAATGAAGGACCATGAGGTGGAAGAAGGCATTCCCACCTCCCTGTTTGCTGGTCTCATTTGGATCCTGGGTCTCAAGTTTATTGTCATGTAACTAGATCTCTCAAATGTCTAATTCCTTTTGACTAGGGCAGCCCAGTGGGTAAAGATGCAGACACCTACACACCCTCCCGCTGAGAAAACTGTAGTGCAACTTTAAATGATGTCACAAGTCATTCTTAACTTTTCCTGATAAGCATCTACTAACCTTTGTCTAAACTTAATATGAAGGGGACAGAGGGTCCCAACTCTTTCTAGGGAGGTGCAGAGGTTTGACTGCAGCGACCACAAGGGAAGTGGGGTATGCCGGTTAGGGTGATACCGGGAGAAAAATTGGTCTCAGGTAGGTGACCTCCAAATGATACAGGGAACCTCCAAATGACATAGAGAAAAATGATCTTCCGACCTGACCTGGACGAGTTCCTGTTCTCTTAAAACAAAGAATGAATTTTAGGAATCAACGGAGGTTATGAGCAGAATATATTGAGGGAAAGAAAGCTCCTGTCTTAGAGAGAGGGATAGGAGGGGGGCCCGAGCAGGTTGTTCCCCCAGAAGCTGTCTCTTCCAGAGACTTTTATAGTGTAGAAAATGGGAACTCGTTTAGGTGGATGTTTTGGCCTCCCTCCCTCACATTTTTCCACAACAGGACTGGATCACCTGTCTCTCCCCACCTTACCCCAGAGTTGCTGGGATTGCCAAATGACCTCCCACTCTCCTGATCTGTCCCTCTGCCTGGGCACTGCTCCTAAACCATCTCCTCCCTCTCCAATGCTCCCTGACCAGCTCCTAAAGAGCCAGTTGCAGCTGAAGCCCACCTCAATCTCTTTGGTCACGTTAGGAAATCTCAAGTGCCATCATGGACCACGGGGCCTCATGCAATCTGTCACACTTCAGTTCCAGCTACATAGAAACAATGCTGTTCCAGGTCCAACCTGCTTAGCTTGGCTAATCCTGGGCCCCTGTGAAGCCCACTGGCCTGGGTACTCATCAGGCAAAGGGGCTTTTCTTTGACGTCAGTGTAACTGCTGCACGGCTCTGGCATTGCCTAATTTGTGCTGAATTCTACTATGCCAGTCTTTTTCTTTAACCATACACCCTGCTGGAGGATTCACCCATTTCCTCTTGGCTTTTCCAGCATGCTGTAGGAACCTGATACCCTTAGTTCATCTCCCAACTCTTCTAGAAGGTGCCACTGCCCTCCTGTGGTCCTAACTCCTAAGTATGGCACCATCTTAGCCTTAGTAGGTTCTCAGTGCTATCACCCAACCTCCCACCCCAGCAAGGTCTCTCTTGTCCAGCCCAAGGAGGGTCTAGTGGGTCAGTATGGGAATAGGTACTTGTTAGAACAAAACAAACAAAAAGCCAGAGTTGCCTTGGCAACCTTTCCCAGGAACCCTTCTCTGATTAGGTACAACAAACAATGGGCTATTTACTTGGGTTTTCTGAACAGTTAATCAGAGAAGGAAATTCTTATCCAGCCCACACCCAAAGAGTAAAGGAGGCTAGGGCTAGATCAACACCTCCTGCTGGTCTAGGACAAGGTCACCCACCCACCATCACCCCTGGTAACACCTGCTACTATTACTATAAATTTATTGCAAATTAATTTTAATATACAGATACAAAACAAATATAGATTCACAGCATTTACAAGAAATCATTCAAATAACATTGTAAGTAATTTTTTTTTTTTACAAAAAAAGCATTCAACAAAAATACATATGAAGTTACAGCAATCTTATGGACCATACTTCAGGTGACAAAGCCAAGTCACGAGTTCACAAGTGTCACCTGATTTACACAGAAGACATCAACTTTCTGTGAACAAGTTAAAAAAGGTTACCAGAAGCTTAGCATGGTAGGTGAGAAACCACACTGGGTGCTAATAGGTACCTCCCCCCAAAAGGACAATTATTAAATTATAGAATCACTCAAAATATTTTCTTAATACAAATGTTAATGTCCATGACCTGACTAAAAGCAGCAATGAAAAGGATGTCGGGAGTTAAGTAAGTCCTTAGAAAATATGGAAGCTTTTCTTTTTCTTTTTTTCCTCCAAGACCAGCTGGAAGAAAGTTTCCATTTATTTTTCCCCGAAGTCTTTTGAACTCCATGTTCATTGCATCCTGAAAAGAAACAGTATTGGCCAAGTGCATTTAAACAGCTACTTGTAGGTTGAGTGTATTATATGGAAAACTTTGTTGGCTTAACCCAGAAGCCGAGCGCAGCGTCTGTCACCAGAAACACCTTTGTGTGTCCTCGTTGGCACCGTCCACTGAGGCGGAGGCACACATCTTTCCTCAGTGGAATAACGAACAGAAATCCTCCCCTCGGCTCTGGGCAAGCAGGTGCTCTATTCTGTCGGGGAAGCAGAGCTGAAGAATGCAACTCAGGCTCCGGATATTTCTACCTGGCAAGCCGCTGCGTCACCCGGCACCACTTTATAGATGGTTTCTACTGTGAACTGAATTTGTAATTACGTGTATCTTTGCTTTGTGTAAGGACAACAGCAAAGTGCAACGTGGCACACAGCCTTCGACGGGGTTGGGTATAAAAAGGCACAGTATTTACAAATGGCTTTAGATGGTGGTGACTTGTTTTCAGCTGCTGAATTAGATGTGCCAGCAGGGATAAAAATCAGACCTAATGAAAACAATCCATGTTGACAGTATCCTGTGAAAGCTCAGGCACACTGCTTGCTGTCCCCTTTCTAGTGGCTAGGACAAGGAATGGTACTTCTCTAGGATTTTTTACATATTGTTTAGGGTTGCTTATAACCTACGACATAGCTGATGTACCTTTAGGTTATGGTCAGAATTGAGATGGTCGCTTTTGACGCAAGGCCTTTCCAACTGTCTTAACAGAGCTGACAAAATCTGAAACATTAAAGAACAAATGAAATGAAGAAAAAAACCCAAAAGAACAAATGAAATTTATCAAAATGTTGTCATTTTTTTGTTTGGCCCAGGGGAAGGCAGGGTGGCATTCCACATGAAATTCATGCACAATCCGGGTGGAAGGCTCTTTGCTGCTTATTTCCAAGTGGAAGATACAACTTAAATCAAGTAGGAACTTTTGGCAAACTGAAAACGAGAATACTTGAGACCTTCAATCCTTGCAGAACTCTGGTACCTGGAACCCAAGCCAGACATACATGCAGACTTTCAAGAAGTCAAAGCATGTTCTAGCCTTTAAAATATATATATATATCATCAGTTTTCAAAATTACTTGAAAACTCAAGTAGGATCCACTAAGGGCAGATACTCGATCGACTGATTCTCACACTGTATGAGTCTGACTGGAGCAACCCTGGGTCTTGAACTGAGCTTCGCAGAAATACGTCTTTGTGTTCGAGTCTCTGTGAGGAAGTCCACGGAGGTAGGCGGGAACCTGAAGTAAGGGCTCAGCTGAAAAGTGCACTAGCTCTGGTCACACGGCTCGAAGCATTTCTTCACTGTCCATTAGTAATAATAGCAAATGGAAGCTCTGTGAGGGACTCGACCGGAGTTGAGTCCTCACTGAAAATGTAACAACCAATTCTCTTTACTTCCTTAAAACAACTTTTTACATTATGTTTAAAAAACAAAACTGTTCAACATTACTGTACAAATGAACAAGTCTATTTAGCAATGAAAGGCATGTTAAGTAGTTTCCAAAATATATCATATTTTGTTAGTAAAAATGTCAGTTACATAAATGCAACTAAATCTCGCTCTCGCTCTTTCTCTTGCTCGCTCGCTCTTTTGCTCTCTCGCTCTCTCAAGCCACAGCATCACTGCTACCTTAGGACCTGTGCTGGAGAAGTCCAGAGAGGCTACCAGGCACGGTTGGCCCCAGAGCCATGTACCCTGCCAGAAAGGCAGCCTCTAAGTAAGCACAGTACAGCTGCTCTCAGGGCCTGGTATGGCCACAGAATGCCCTAAGGAGGGGACCAGGATTGTGTTTTCTTAATGCATGATGTCACCTCCTTCTACCACAGCTCTGGACTCAGGAAAGGGGTGGAGATATGCCAGAAAGCACACCCTTGGAGTCAACACCTTTGTCTCTTACACCCTTACACTTGGTTATTCTCAAGCATGGGTCTATGATTAAGAAAAAGCAGGACAAAACAAAACAAAAACCACATTGCAAGACCAGCATAGAAAAAACGAACTTCTCATTTAAATAGTCTCCAAATGTGTACCACACTGTCCCCCAGCCAGTGCACTGAGTAGAATAAAATGCAGAGCCTGTCTTTTCCAGACATGGTTAAAAGGTATTTTCATTAAGCTTTACAATATAGACAAGAAAAAGGAGGTTATTATCTGCAGGCACTGGCTCCTGTGGCTTTGTTACACAACACCACTCCCTCCGAGCCCAGGCATTCAGCCAAGATCTCAGACATCCACTGTGCTGGCAGAGTCACGTGCTGCTATTAAGGGCTCTGTGACAGAGGTGGCTTCAAATTCCCTGGAGGCTTGCTCTGTGCCTGTACTTTCACTGGGAGGAGTCCCCATCTTTGGATTTCCACCACTGGGGATGTCAGGAACCACTGAAGAAGACCCGCAGGACCTCTGACAGGCATCAGAAATGACAGGAAGTCAGCATTCACACGTCACAGCTGAGTGGCAATTTCTAAGTTGTGATCGATGAACTGCACCAGGAATGTGCTTGTCTTGTCACCAGTGAGTCTCCCTGTACAGCATGATGTGGGCTCCCAAGTGCTGGCCTCTGCGTACATCTCAGGTTCCGGAATAGGCAGAGCCATGA